CCAGTTCGGCCTTGAGCGCTGCCGGGAGACGCGCCCCAGTGACGCTAGCAGTAGTCACGGTTGTACTCTGGTGCTCTGGCCGCGATGCCGGCGGCGCACGGGACACCGCTTCCGTAGTCCCATCTGGGTAGGGTCACTACTGCCCCGCTTCGGTGGTCCCATCTGGGCAGGGCCGCTACTGCCCCGCCTCCGTGGTCCCATCCGGGCAGGGCCGCTACTGCCCCGCTTCCGTGGTCCCGTCTGGGTAGGGCCGCTACTGCCCCTCTTCGGTGGTCCCGTCTGGGTAGGGCCGCTACTGCCCCGCTTTCGTGGTCCCGTCTGGGTAGGGCCGCTACTACCCCCCTTCCGTGGTTTCATCTAGGCAGGGCCGCTACTGCCCCCGCTTCTGTGGCCCCATCTGGGAAAGGGCTGCCACTGCCCCGCTTCTGCCGCCCATTGGGGGAGGGGGCGGGGGCAATGCCCGGGCAGGGCCAGAGAGAGCCTTGGCAGTCGAAGGGAGTGGCGAATGCCTTGCAGGAACACGGGTGCAGAGGCCACCGAGACGGAACTTGTATACACACCCGGAGGGAGTCCCCAGGGACCGCTTCGGTGTAAAGCGGGGCCTCGTGTTCTGGGCGTGCTTCGTGGACGTCGGCGGGCGGGCCTCACGAGGGACGCTGGTGGCGCCGCTGCCCGCCGGTGCAGCTGCTGTCCGGCGCCGGGCTGCGTGCTGGACACCACCGCCCCCCTCCCCCGCAGCGCCGATGCGGTAAAGAAACCCTGCAGCTGGCGCGCGCGCGCGCGCGAGCCTCGGGAAAAGGATAGCGGGCCGGCCTTGGCACTGTTTCGCTTTCGCTCCAGTCGCCAGCAAACAACGGATGGACGTGACGCTCGGACTGGCGTATTAGCTATGCAGATTGGGGGTCTGGCGGTGCGGGATCGGTATTATTGAAGGGCAGAAGCGGCGTGGCCGCGACTGAAGTCTTTTGACGAGCCGAGGGCGGGTGCCGGTCGACACCCCGCACTGGCGGACGTGTCGCTTAGTCAGGACCGGATTAGGAGGGTGGAACTAGCGCCGAGTCCGGCCAGGGCGACTTTTTGTTTCTGACAGGGTGGTTCCGCATGAATTGTGGCCGGCGTCGTACTACTGGAGAAATTCCGTTCAGCAGCTGACAGCTGCCACTCCCTACATCCATGTGATGACGATGGCCGCTTTCCTATTGGCATCAATGAGTGATATAAATGAGAGCATTGGATGCTAGTGATCCTAATATCCTACGTCCACCTTCTTGAGACAAAAGGCAACGCATGTACACATATGCCAGGGTACGCGATAGACGACCGCCGGCAGGTTTTTAACCGTTAAAACCACCTGTCCTGCACTACTGGTGGCAAAAACTGGTAGAATCTAGTAGAACTCATTGTTGAAATATTTTTTCTCACAAAAAACTGGATCCAAAACGCAGTCCATCACATTTACGCGAAATATGATGCATCGACATAACGGAGATAGCCGAACGTTCCGCGGTAAAAGTGCACATGTGACTGCAGGCCACTAGCCACACGCATAGCAAGAAACCCATTCACTAACGTCTACGTGTGCATGCAGCGTGTGTGTGCCTGTTACTGAGGCAAGGTAAGGGGTAATAAGGCGGGAAACAACGCCTTTAAAACCTGGGTAGTTGTTTGATGATCTTAGCACCATTTCTATTTCAGTGATATCACCTCTCCGGGCAACGGTTACTTGCGATCTGATTCACAATGGGTTAAACTAATTTAATTTAGTCTCACGACCTTTCTCCACCAGGCCGTCACTCGCTCGCACAACGGAGATCCATCCCATCTGGCTCCCAGCTGACTCCAGCTGCGACCGGCCGCCTCTCAAGAGCCGCCTGGCCAGCCGAGTCGGCCGCAGTCGGGGTGGTCCGGGCTGCAGTCAGCGCTGGATCGTCTCAGCACCAGCCACGTCTCCTCTCTGTCATCAAGCCGGCGCGCACCGCCGGCCGGCCTCTGCACCACGCCTGGCACCGGACGTGTGCAGACCTATCTGGCCGGCCACTTCCCGGTGCTGCAGCCGGCCTGCCGCGTGGCTCCCGTCGCGGGAGGGGCGCTCGCTAGGCGGCCCGCCTCCTCGCGCCGCCGACGAAGCCACTCCTCCAGCCGCGGTTCCGGGCGGCGACGAGCAGCGGCGAGCGGCACGAGCCAGCCTGGAGCAGCCGGCGCCGGGCACCGGCGCGTGTCCGCGCCCAGCCAGCCGACCGGCGAGACAGCATTGTCGCGGTGCGCCACAACGCCGCCGGCGCGGGGCACTGGCCGTTTTAGGGGTGCCAAGTGGAGCGCACGCCGCCACGGCCGCCCGCTTCCGGCCGCCGGCGGCTCCCCAATTTGCGTGCGGCCCGGCGGCCGTCGGCGGAGCGCGTCGCCGCCGCCGGCGCCGCGCCGCGCGCCACCGTGACCTGGACCCTGTTTGCTGCGCGCGCGCGCTGCCGCATTCCGGGGCGGCGGCATTCCGGCCTTCCGCGGCCGAGTCGGCCGCGTCCCGGCCGGGGGGCGGGCCGCCGGAAGCGGGCGCGGACAGGTGCGCGCTGTTCAGGGGCGCGGCCGGCGCGCTCCGGCGACCCCGCCTGACCCCGCCCGCGGCTATTTCGGGGGACGGACCGGGCGCGGTCATCGCTTCGGCAGGTGATCCATTAGACTGGACTGTGAGCGTGCCGGGGGCGGTAGCGGGGAGGGAAGGCGATGGGGAGACGCGCTGGCTGGGAGGACGCCTTTCTCTGGGCACGCCCGTCGGTACCCACTGCCAAGGCCCAGTCGGCATGCGACCCTTCGCTGGCACAGAAGCGTGAAATCGGCTAGTTTATGCTGCTAGCGATCGCCGGTGCATCCAGCGCAATGCGCTCGCCAAACAGCCATGGGCGATATCCTGGCGCTGAACGCTTGCGGGCCCCAGACAGCTAACCAGCCAAGTGTACGCATGTGTTCCGCATCGCGCGACCTCGAGCCTTGCAGGCGCTGCACACGAATAAGGCGTCCAAACAATCACGCACAAGTGTGCAAACGAGAGGGTATGCTCGTTCTTTTGGATGAGCACAGTATGAACGCTCGCCCTTGTACTTTCGTACTAACACAGGGGAAGGAGACGAAGGGAAGCAGACGAAGGAGACGAACTAACACAGGGGAAGGAGACGAAGGCGATGTGCATTCGAATCAGGACCAGGGACAGGGGATGGGAGAGGGGAGCACAAGCCGGGCATAGCTTGTTGTGCCGCCCGGGCACACCTTGCACGTGAACTAAGCAAGTTCTATGCCATTTGTGGCATAAAATCGGTGTAAATCATGTCATTGACGTCACGCCGGAGGGATCAAAGCCCACGCTAGTTACGTTTCGTGAACTTTTGCGAGAGGAAGAAAAGAAGTGTTCTCGAGTTTGCAGGCATGCATCATGCCGCACGACATTCGCGAATCTCTACAAATTTACGGCCATGGAAATGCAACACAAATCTGAGAAAAGGGCGTAGCCGGCGTCAAAACTTCCGCAGGATGAAACGTGCGCACGCCTGCATATCCTGTAGCATGACGGTGCTGACGGTGGTGATCGGACCGACCACAGCTTATCGCAACAAAGCGGGGCACGACCGACGGTTAGGGACACTCGATATGCGACTGGGGCAGCCACAGAAGGTCAGAGGCGGCTACGGGTGAAGGAAGCGTTGATTGGTAGGTCAGGTGCATGGGTCCGAAGTCAACCGGACTTGTAATCGATTACGGACCCGTGACCTCTGTGATCCAGGGGCAAGCTTATCAAACAGTTTGCAAATGGACAAGGCTTAGGCTCACCACATACGAGCGGACTGAGGCCAGGACTCAAAGTTCAACAAAAAATATGAAACACCTGCTTCGAAGATTGAAAAGGGCTCAGGGATATCAAGGCTCAAAGGTTCAGGCCCAAAGATAAAAATGATCTGGGATTCGGACTCAGACGCAACCCAAACTGAAGTTAGACTTAAGACAAATGAGGTAAAGATCGCCGGACACAGGCCGTGTGGGACAGTTGGTTGAGCAGGATGAATATCGCCCACGATAGAGATCATGCTCTCAATGATCATAAAAGATGGAGTGGCACAAATACCTAGGGGACAACAAAACACGGCATGGGATCAGTTCCTAATGAAGAGGTTTACCCAGATTGCGACCAGTTACGATATTTTTCTGAGGTGGTCTACATCTGGCGCGATCTCACACAAAATCGATCGATTCGAATTCGAACCTAAAGGCATCTCCCGCGAACACCTGTGCTGTGAGACCCAGTCGTGGTCTCAAACACAAGACTCTAGGACATAGGACTCAGGACCTGTATGATGTCGGGAGGGGAGACCTGGGATTCGCACGCATGCCTCAAGACATCAGCAAGATCCGGACCGAGAAACCGAACTGAAGATTTTTGCCGCCCAGACGCATGCCTCACCACAGAGCAAAATTTACAAGTTGTAATATCATCGGTGAGCATCATTCGCCGCTTCTAAAAGCGGTTTCCCGCAATGATGTTTACTGTTGTACGTGTCACAGCAAAGGTAAATATACTAAATACCAAGCGAGTAAGCCATCACGCGCGAGCGGCCACAGGTGTGGAAACAAGTCGGACGATGGATAACGTTCACGAGAAGAAACTCTTAAGGATGACTAAGAGACGTTTTTAGTTCCCACTGCACACATCGGGCCACGCTAAATATGGCCAAAAACATTTCAAAGAGGCCATTATGCTGAGACGACGCTACGAAATCATGGTAAGATCCAACATCATTTCCGTGCCTCTTAAGAGATTTTAACCACGCTTATCCAATCGTCTCATGCTCAAGCCTGAAATTACTGGACCGCGCGGGGAACCAGCCACAACCGAATCAAGTGAGCAAAACACAAAACACACGCGACGACCCTGGTCTCGAGGAAGTGCTATGTATACGCAAGCCATCCCACTCACATCACCACCTTGAGCTGAGCTCATTGATCAGAAGCAGACTCACCTGAACTGAACGATCCGAAAAGAAGCTGTTGCTTCGCACACGGCGCGCGCCCTGCCCACCCACGCGCGCAACTCTCCGGAACTACTCTGACGGATGGTTTGCCGCAACAGATTTCTGCTGCGCGCCGTGGACCCGCAGTTAGCTGAGCTTTTCGGCATTGGCCAATCAGAGCATGGCTGAGCAATGACGTCACGTATGCGCCGGCCCTGTGAAATCATGCGACAGCAGTACGAGGCGGTCTGTGTCAGCAGTGGCGATTCCACCCGGGGATCTCGCGGGAGGTGTTTGAAATGAAAATCCGTGGTTTTTAACATTTAACACTAGCTTGTTTAACGTACACATAACCTCCATCCGTCATTTATAGGCTCGTGCATGTAAATATATGCACAAAACTTCAGCCGGTAGCATACGTTTGACCTCCATCTGACATCTTTAGGCCCATGTAAGGGAGTTTGCGATAAGGTGTATGCCAAGGTTACCGGTAGGCGACCCCCGAGTGAAAACCTGTATTTACGTATATTAAATGCATCCTCCACAAAAATACCATCCATTCGCTCGGAACGAATTTGTATTGGTTTCTTGCAGTCCTTATAAAAAGCAAAACAAAGCAAACGGGGACGGAAGTAGAATTGTGCCAGTCGAATTATAATTTTTCGTTGTATATGAAGGATTGCAGGAAATTTCAATTTACGTTGATTGGCATCCATTGTTTCTACGAATGCGTTTACATTGACCAGATGTTTCAAGTGCCCCAAATTTTTGCTGGAAGCCCACAATCATCGGGCGACCCCAAAGCGTGTTTCCACCGCTCATTCACCGCTAATATAGTGAATGTATCATGCATAGTAAGAAAATAAAAATGTGACCGAGGTATATAGGCAGAAATGGAGGACAAAACATGTTATTACTACCAATGTGTGCATCAGGAAAAAAACTTGTATCGTTCGTGCTGGCCTCCGCATCATGCATACAACTTAATTTATAATGTCTGATGTCAGTTGTAGCCAGTGTCTGGATAAGGTGCAAGCTGTATGGACTGGTGAGCCAACATCCATAAATGATCGTTGGAATGACGTTTGCGCTATTTGTGTCAAACAGTGTCAAATTTTTACACTGGAGGATAGCAAGGCTACAACTTAGTCTCATTTGAAATTATGCACTCATATGACATATTTCCACTGCCCCATATGCTTCCGGGATCAATCTTCACCTCTTAAGATTTAAGTTACAAAACACAAAAAAAGATGCGGATGTAGGTCATGTGGGAGCAAGCCCTTGGAAAAGTTGCATTGTAGTTTACTGAGTACCATTCACTGCCAGTCTAATCCATTATTGCATGACGTGAAAGGCTCACAATTTGTCTAGAGTCGAGCACACATGGTGTATATACATATATACATTCAAGTTGAAACCAATGCATATTTTAATGTTAGCGTGCAACTTTCAGTTGAAAAAATGACATTTAAATCAGTACAATCATGGCATCACACTAGCGATTCGTGACACCCATCCACAACATTTATGGAATGATAGAAGTTCGCCCAATGGAATATGAATAAAATATTTGTATTTTTCAAGTGAACGGATTTGATGTATAAGAAAAGAATAAGGCATTTTGTGGATAGCCTTCTGCATATTGCAAGCATGCAGTAAGTTGCTTGACCATTATTTGATGTCAGTAGGACCCAGATTTTCATGTGCGAAAGTTCATAAACTGGGCTTAAGCCAAAACACATGGTTTTAAGCTAAAGCAACATAATATGCTGTCAACGTCAAGCAGTGGCACATTTGTGCACGTAACGTAGTGACAAAAATGTGATCTTAAGATGTTTTGAACCTTGACACCTGAAGCGTAGCTTTCACACCATGTTATTGTCTCAGCTGCACATGCTTACTTCTTCACCTGCAGAGATGAAAAGGCAGACACAAGTGAGCACTGACGTTTTATTAACTGCAGCACTTCAAAAAAGACAAGTATTGCATGCCTTTATTACTTCCATGTTATCAGCCTCTCACTGGTACATATTTGGTTCTCACAAAGGCTATCCCACAGGGACCCATTTGCAACTGCAATGCACACCACTGACACTGAATGAGTCTCATAGTTAGCAACTAACCGTCCCGGTCAGAACAAGGAAGGTAATACACCTCGGCACTTGCCCAGGTCACTGTAATGTCTGACCATACTATTTCACTATTTCTGTATCGATTGACTTCCAGTGTGCGTTGCGTCTTCGACCACGAAGCTCAAAGAGTTTTTTGTTCAGAATGAGGGCAAATTCTGCGCAGTCGCGTCTTCTTTAATAGGGGGAACATGTGTCATCACCCACTGTAATGTTATGTGATGCGATTTGCCGTCAGTGAAGTGAAGAAACTCTTTACCAAAACAATGTACTTTGGTTGGCAAGCTATGGAAGCATGATTTTTCGTGTGGTTATAGTTTGTCATGGATGCGCCATTAGCTGTCACGGGCAGTGGTCATTTCCGTTACGCTGATTGGTGTTTCCCTAAAAGAGTTGTGTTCGCACCCGCACAGCCCATACAGCCATGAATATCATGGATGAGAAGCACAATCCTTGTTAACTATCTATAGTATCCTTGTTCAAAGCCTCAAATGGACTCGACGTTGCTGCCGATAGCTTAGTCCAAATACTTTGAGGGATGTCTCCTTGGAAAGCTCAAAAGATTAGACACACTTTAATGATTGCAATTGGGGTTAATCGCAGTTGGACCTGCGTGATTTGATTTTGCATGTCAACTTTGGAAGATATTAGGAAAACATGTGAAAACAAATCCCGTGTTCCAAATAAACACATTTTGTTAGCTAGCTCAAGTTAACCAATACTTAAGAAAATGAACAGATGTTTATGAAAAGGAAGTCTGATAACATTGCAATGAGCTCAGGTGTTTCGTAGGCTCATCTAATTATGAAGTTCGGTAGCGCCTGAGGAGTAGTCTGTTTGCACCCCTACCGAATATTCAACCAACGTTTTGGACCAAAAGCTATACAACGAGATGGTTCACCCGTTCGTCTTGAACAACTCGTACCAGGTTGTTGTACACTGCATGTATTACATAGTTGACCCGTATTGAAGGCTCAAACAAGGTCTAATCACAGTTTTGCTACACCTGTAGAGCTTCTCATAAAGCTTTCAAAAGCAACAGTACTCTTTAGACTTCAAATGAAGGGACATTAGCTTAGAATGACTTAGGCGTCACTATCGACCCATGCCAGTCTTTTTGTTGCATGATGATGTTGGTCAGCACTTCATCGACGTCGAGCTTAACCTTACGCAGGGTGTGGCCTTCACATTGAATGACATTTCCCAAGACCGCGAACGGAAAAATAAGATGACCTCGACGTGCTCAGCAGGACAAGCGCCATAATTATTGGCTCTGGTTGCCAAAATCTTATATCAATCCTAAAAAAACGTTAAAAGCGTACGGCACTGTGATTTCCGAAAGAGATCACATGACGGGGCGCACACGTTAGCACACACTTTTGTCAACATAGTCGCCTATTCACAGTCGGCCTGCGTTTTCCTCTATCCACATGCATTGGTATCGCGCATCGCTGCAACAAAGGCACGTTTGGATCAGAACCTGGTTCGCCCTACGCTCTTCATCTTTGCGTCTTTCGTTTTCTTTTTTGAAATGTTGTGCCCCCCTCGCTGATCTGGTGGGGCTGTCAGTATTTTGTTACAATTTCCATGTTGCAAGGAACTGACACCCGGTCAAACAGATTGTGTGGAAGCGCCGAGGGATTTAAGCAGTGGAAATTTGAAAACAGTTAAACCCTTTCCTGCAAATACTTACGTCCGCTTCGCTGCAAAACTCGGTGGATGCAAAGATATTTGTTTCTAGGATGTTTGATGGCTGGTGAGGTCAAATATTTCCAGATTGTTCAAGTGCGATTGATTCGATCTGCGGCCTTGCTTGCAAAAGGACGTTTTTCACATCTGCTTGCAGGCACGGAGCGCCACCTTAAAGTTAGAAGGCTTTCAGTTTACCACGCATGGCCGTCAACCCAAAACCAGCTATATTTTACAAGCCGTTTACTGATAAAACTTCGAAAAAGACGAATAAGAGCACGCTTTTCGGGTGGCTCAGGCAGTGGAGCTTTAAAGAAGTAATACAAATGGATAATAACCAGCTTTTTTACCAGCTACTGGCTGGAAAGAAATCGAAAATGGAAACGGATAATATAAATCTTCCCTGTGATCCAGGCAATATGAGTATGTGAGGTTAGCACTGGTTTATACTCACTCGCGTTGGTGGCGTAAGCTGACATCGGGCAGGTAACAGGACATATATTTTCTCGAAAGTGAACGAAGTGGGTTTCCATATGCAATGCTACTGTGGCTATAGAAACAGCTTAGCAGAGCGATACCCTCCCCAAAATTGCGGGGTCCAGCAGGCTCCGTGCTGTCTCGAGGCGCCACGAATCTACGAGCGGCCGCAGCCCGACCGCGGGAAGGACGGTGACCTCATCTGTTGGTATGCGGTGATGTGATATATTAGTGATCTCATTGCAGGGCGCCTGAGCCATGCCTGAATCGTCATCCTGTACTCGGGTACCGTCGAAACAGCATCCACGGCGTCTAATGTGTCCCCGATACTTTCCGCGGGGCATACTTACATCGGCGTAAGATTATTTGTGCACACATTGACGCTGAGCTGGAATAGTCATTAGCATCGCGACAGTGCCGGCTTATGTTGCAGGCTGTTATGACAGAGGAACGATGAATCATCGCAATGCGCTGAATTGGAGCTCGAGCACGCCTCTTGGTGCGATGTTCGACGCGCTGCTTTTCCCAATGCGTCTTTCCTACATTTGAGTTGCATTCTTATTATATAGCGTGTGTCACAGGTGTTGTTAAATGCGACAGGAGCCCTACCCCGCCACTCGCCCTTGACCGCATTTCCAATTTTCGCCATTGATGACTCCTGAAGCCACAAGTCACCGCGGTGCGTTCTTATTGACCTACCCTCTTTAAGAAAATCCTTGCCGCGCCCCTGGTGCGGGAGTGCAGCGCACCGAAAACTCAAATGGTAGAGCGCGCTGCTTCTGACCGCTGTGGATTTATAGTACGATTACTTATTGGATAAGCATGGGACATTTGTTAACCGAACATCTTGCAACTACGCGTGGATGCTGATGGTTCGCATCCATTTCTGTGATTCCAACCCTTGGATATGACGCTTCCGCACCGATAAATTCTTCTGTTTACATGTTCCGCAACGACCGAAATCTTGGCATGCTTGTGGTAATTTCTGTTCCCACCACTATAGCATGCTACGGTTTTCCGAGTCAACGATCGCGCGCTCGTGTCATGGTCGTCAGTTTGCGACGGCAGCAAGACGTCCGTCACCCAGCGGCTGGTCTCTGATCACTGGTCAGAGAGCGGCTCCAACACGTCAACGCCTGCCAATGCTCGCCGCATTTTACCCTCTGAACCGGCAACTCGGAGCCGAAACACTCGCGTTTGCCTTCGCGGAAGCATCGGGCGTGATCGCATGGCTTGCGCCAACAGCGGCCCTCGGTGCCGCCACCGAGGAGTCAGCAGCACGGAGAATAAGCCAGGCAGCAGCCGGCAGATAGCAGTGAAAACAAACACCATCGAGTGGGTCACTGATACTGTGCTGTCAGGCGGGAGGGTACCGAACTTCAGGCGGGCACGGAAGCTGCCCTGAGGACCGCATCCGAAGGAGGGACAACAGAGGGGGGGGGGGGGCAATGGAGGCCACCACCTCAAGGGACCTTAAGGTGGTGGCCTTAAGGTCCTTTAATGTCGATGTTGATATGACGATGCTCCATGAAAAAAAAAACGCGGGGCCCGAAAACGAGCACCGCCAAGAACTTTGAATTTGGCTGCTCACCATTTGTCGGCATTTCAGATTGTGTGACTAAAACTTGAAGAACTAAAAAAGAAGACACATTTAAGTTTGCTCGCACTTTGTCGGCCCCCACCATGTGATAGGGATCTAGAAGTTTGAATTCCCCTGCCCTCCATCTTTGCCGAAATCCTGGCCCCTGCCTTCAATGTCCCTGCGACTGGTCCCTGACAGGTAGCCAGAGACAACAGACGCGTCATTGTCACACGAGTATTGCATAAGTATCCACCACTGTGGGTAGACTGGAGGCTGCCGAACAGCTGCCATGAAGCGTGCCACTCACTAATGCCTTCAAGAAAGCTTCAGGAAAGAAAATGTCATGACATCGGCATCACATGGCAATATCGCCAAGAAGCACTGGTTTGGCATAATGGTGGCATAAGCACTGGCATAATGGTCATAACCACGCTACGTCTTTTATCATTAGAAGGCACATTAAACAACGAGGGCATGAAAATGTAATCGGGTTAAGTGCGTAAAACATGAACCAACATAAACAAAACGCAGGCGTCAGACGACATTGGACAGCACCATATATCCAAAAACGTTACGCTGAACTTTTTCCTTGCACCTCCACAACAAATGAATTCGAGACGGCGGCAAGGAACGTAAAGATAAGAATGTTGACCACGGCACAATAAGACTCACTCCCCATAAATACAGCACTGCATCCAGAACGTTAACCTCATCAAGTCAGGTGAAATGTTGACAACTGCATTAAACAGCTAGCGCACGCAAGCGGCTCACCTGCGCCATCCTTTTGAACAAACTGAGTTGTTAGGTGGCCGACGAGCGGAAGGGTGCGGTCGGCCCCTCTCCCCCCCCCCCCCCCCCGATCCCCGATAGGTCAACGAGCTATCATCGCGGCGCTGCGGTCTGGCGGTCGTCAGGTTCGTGACACAGCGCCATTTGGGGAAGCGTAGGCCGGTGGCGCCCTCCGCCCCTGTCCCTGCTGCGAGCCGTACACAAACAGTGCAGCACTGCCATTATCACGCCGGCGTAGTCCTGTTCCCACGACGCTTGGCCCCAGGAGCATGCGCAGCTACTTTCGATCGCTTTCAGTGTCAGTGGGTGCCGGACGCACACCGAAGGGCACCGTGGCGGTGAACGGTGTCACGTGTCACGGGCGATGTCACGCTCACGCAGTACTCAGAGCCGCGATCCAGTACTCGTGAGAGGGAAACAGCGATGTTTGAGTCCCTGTCGAGAGCATGAAAAGCGAACGCTGCAGCCCTTTCTTCCCTGGTTCATGTGTGGAACTATCGTGGGCTTCGTTTTATATGACACGCGTGGGGCGCGGGACTTATGTGATCGAGGCGCGCGTACTGAACGCATCCGCAGGGGTTGAGAAAGAACACTTCACCTCATATGAGCATGACAAACTTCGTAGCGTCCATAGACCACATGCGCGTGCTTCCGCATAAAGGCATCATGCATTTTTGTGTCGACGCATTTATCGGAGAAGTGAGAAAATATGCGTGTCAAATATGCGTGTCCGCAAGGCCAGAACGGACCTGCGTTGTTTTCGCACAGAATAACAATGTTTTTTTTCTGCGACGATCTAAGCTTTTGAAATATCAAACGGATCGCCATGAACTGATCCACCACTATCAATTTGAAGACAACCCAGGATCAATTCGCTTGGCTAATGGACGTCCTGGCAGGCCGTTTCGCGAATGATCGCCCCACCTGCGGCCCTCTCGCGCGCAACCGAGGTTCATCTCCGCCGGTAACGGGCCGGCAGACGCGGCGCGAACGACCCCCGCCGCATCGAGGTCAGCCATCATGGTCCCGCCGTCTGATGATGAACTCATCGATACGCTCGTCCCGGCGCAGATGAGACGGCGGCGCAGCGGCCATCGGCGTCCATCAGCTGATGTGCCTGCGCCACCCTGCGGCGACGGGCCACGATGGCGACGGCGCCCCGCCGGCCGCGATAAACACAGGCTCGGCCCGTGGGCACGCACGGCCGCCGACGGCGCGCAGCAGGCCGCCGAGGGATGACCTCACACGGGCTCAGGAACCACACGGAGAGATGTGCAACAGTGTATGTCTGAAGATCGTGCCACGAACTCCATCGAAAACACGGCGCAGTGTGAGTGTTCTGCAAACGAATGCATGTAGTTGAGAGCATTTGTGTGCAACCCGCGTGTTCATCTCAGCATTTGCACTTTTGCTAATCTAACGTTTGTTTTAAGTGGCATCACAGTTTCGATTCCAAACATTACACAACGTTACAGACTAAATATAGCAGAGAGTAACATTGTCTGTCCTCTGAGGCTCCGTCCCGATATTTCCACGCCAATCGAGCACACCCCAACTCCTGTTAGCGAACGGCATTCCCGAACGCAACCTGCGAACCGCAAGGTCATGACTGACGCGTCATGCGATCCATCTGTTCGCACGTAACGACGGCCAGCGACAAAATCCGCTCACACGCGGCAAACAAGGTAGCTAAGCCGTGCACACACACCTCAGCGCGTTCCACTAGCGCTATCAGCGGCCGCCTGCAGGTTATCGGTCGATAGCCGATGCCCATAGTCGGTCGACGTTTCGCGCATCCGCCTTGACGTTCCTTCAGACTCTCGCTCTAACAGTGGTCGCCGACCGCATACCCGAGCGAGGGAGGGGATGCGACGAGATGCAACCTGTCCTGGGCTGAGGACTGCCCAGATGAGATCCACTTGGCCATAACAAAAACTGGCCATCACGTTGAAAATGCAAATGCTATTAATAGATGCCTGACCGTGTCATTAGGTGAAGAGAGTAAAGAGATAGAGAGGGCTCAGAGATGAAGATGGAGAGAGAGAGAGATAGAGAGAGAGAGAGAGAGAGAGAGAGAGAGAGAGAGAGAGAGAGAGAGAGAGAGAGGAGAGAGAGAGAGAGAGAGAGAGAGAGAGAGAGAGAGAGAGAGAGAGAGAGAGAGAGAGAGAGAGGAGAGAGAGAGAGAGAGAGGCGACGTGCTACCACAAAAGACCAGATCTGACAACAATTCTGGCCGCGGGAACAGAAAACCGAGGGGATATGGGACGGAGAGACCTCTCCTCGGGTCACAGACCGCATGTGAATGCCTGTCTGACCACGGGTTCTAGCCGCGGGAGAGACAAGGGCGGCTTTACGTCCTCCTCGTAGCGGGCCAGCGCCTGCCACGTCGGTTGGAGCCGTCGGCCGACCTGACGCTCGGCTGACGAGCCCGGGCCGACCTGGCGCGCGGCTGACGAGCCCGGGCCGACCTGGCGAGCGGCTGGCGAGCCCGGGACGACCTGGCGCGCCGCCGCCTACTCCTCCGGGATGCCCCGGATGGCCGGCTTGCCGTCCGCCACCAAGCTTTTGTTCTGCCGAAGGTAAACGGAGTCGTTTGTGGAGGCGCCTGGGTTAGGTTCCGGGCTCAGAGCAGAGTCACATCATTCTGCTCTACTGAGCCATCCGGTGGTGGAGGAGGCGACCGGTTGGGAAATGGCGGGAAAACCCAGACGGTCAACCAGCGAATCAGTTTACTTACATACCAACGCGCATTCCGTGGAGAAATACCTCTTAAGAAAAATGCGTGCAGTGATTTGCCACCTGGTGTCAGATATAAAGGGAATCCTGCACTGGCACCGGCAGTGGGGGCCACCGCAGTTCACACAACCTGCGGTGCCGGCTAGAGCGGGGCTATGATTCGCATGGTGAGGCCCTTAAGCCCTTTCCGCCTAAGCTAATACGCTACAGATACCGCGTGACCCAATGCTATCAAAGATGAGTGCTCTCACTGATAGCACCAATCGGCGCAAAGTCGATCCAATGCAACGAACCCCCCCCCCCCCCCCATCCCAACGCAGCTGAGCCGCAACACTCAGCGGTGACTCATCCCCCTGAAGTCAACGGCCACCGCCCTGTTATTTGCAACCGCATTCATGCGCGATAAACATCGGGGACCTCGCCGGCAAACATTTCCGATAGGTTGCAGACGACCCCGCACGTGGAGCCCACACGCGCCACAGCCGGGGGCTGTCATGATGCATCAATCGGAAAGGTGGGGGGGGGGGGGGGGGGTCACGGGGTCTGGGGACGCCGGTATACTCCGAGTCAGTCGGAGCACAGACACCCGATGACACATGGAGGACGACTGCGGAAACAAACGGTGAGATCACTGACCCCGGGAATCGGGGCGCGCTGAGATTCACCAAGGCATCTTAGAACCGTCGCGCCGCGTTACCGAAACCAATACAACACCATAAATACTGTGCAGGAAGGGCTGGTTGTTGCAACAGGCAAAGAGCCACGCTCACCAGAGCGAAGCGAGTCTAAGCATAGCGTGGGACGGCCGGTCTAAACGACACCATGGCTTCAGATCGTGCGTCTCCTGGCAGGGGGGAACGTAGCCAACATCAGGGCCAGCGGCAGCGGCAGCGGGCTCACCAGGAGCGTGTTAAACTTTCTGACGGCGCTCGCCTCGAACGCCTGCTTCTCGACGTCATAGTCGGGCCCGGCGATGCCCGCCTGCTTCTGCTCGTCCGTCATGTTCTCGAACACCAGCTGCGGGACATCAGACCAGGCTCAGGCCGGCGCGCAGCCGGATATGGGGACACGTGGAGCGGTGGACACGTGGTGGGACGGATGCAACGCGACATGGTCAATGATGCGGGTACAGCACCCTGCCACGCCATGCGTGAGCAACGAGCGACGAGTGTCACATGGCATCGCAGATCGACGCAGTGCGGAGGGGTGCTGCAACCCCATCACGATGGCTGCAGTCTGCAGGTTGTAGTTGCATAGCAGTCACTGCAACCTTTTTTGCTTCGACTGGGCCGAGTAATCTGGTTAATAAATCAATGCATGCTATTGGCTGAATTCAGCTTGTTCCTAGTCAAGAACAGGCGTGTTCAACATAGAGCTCTGTCGGACGTTGTCTCACACAGCGCTTAAGAGCGAAAATGTGCTATCATATTCACATCTCGCCCATGTCCTGGTGACGGAGTTAACGCAGTGGCCATTGTCAAATTAGTCGCCGGATTATGATGCCGACTTAGCCGCACGGCAGGAAATATGGGGTGTTCACCGTTAATATTTTCCCAGCCATCGACGTAATGTTCATGCTAGAAGTGATTCACGGCAGCCTTGTCAAGAGCGACCCAGTTGGCTGGGCTATCTCAATAAACAAACAGCGATATCAAACCCGGACTGCTTTTTATGGGCCCAAGTGGCAAGTTTACACTTCGCCATTCGTCAGCGAGATAAATGACTCGGCTCTAGCAGCCAGGCCACTCAGAGCTCAGCCCCACCCCCTCCCCGTTCAGCAGTGGCGCGAGGGCCGAGGTTCGATGTTGTGTGGGGTGTGGTCGCATGACACACCGCCATCCGCACAAGTCCACCGACAACCGTCTGCTGCGCACGCAACTCGTCCTGTCACCCAAGGACACAAGGACACCGTGACGGCGCGCACGGGCTCTCTCCTCACGTGGCTATCACGAGCTCCAGCCTGCGCTTCACACGTGATCTCATTACAGGACGGAAGTCACGAGCCCCACGGGCCCCGCGCACGGGGCTCGCATGCCATCCTGATGTGGCGAAGGCATCACGGCGACACTGGCGCCGGCCAGCTATGACACTACAGGCCGCGTCCAGCCGAGTTCAGCGTCCCAGCCCGAACTCCGGCAGTGGCGCAGGGTAACACAGCCATCCCAGCTGGGATCACAGCGAACTCCGGTGGTGGCGCACGGTAACACGGCCATCTCAGCTGGGATCGCAGCGGACTCCGGTGGTGGCGCACGGTAACACGGCCATCTCAGCTGGGATCGCAGCGGACTCCGGTGGTGGCGCACGGTAACACGGCCATCTCAGCTGAGATCGCAGCGGACTCCGGTGGTGGCGCACGGTAACACGGCCATCTCAGCTGGGATCGCAGCGAACTCCGGTGGTGGCGCACGGTAGCACAGCCATCTCAGCTGGGATCACAGCGGACTCCGGCGGTGGCGCACGGTAACACAGCCATCCCAGCTGGGATCGCAGCGGACTCCGGTGGTGGCACACGGTAACACAGCCATCCCAGCTGGGATCACAGGGAACTCCGGTGATGGCGCACGGTAACACAGCCATCCCAGCTGGGATCACAGCGGACTCCGGCGGTGGTGCACGGTAACACAGCCATCTCAACTGGGATCGCAGCGGACTCCGGCGGTGGCGCACGGTATCACAGCCGTCCCAGCTGGAATCACAACGGGTTCATCCATCTGTGGACGGTGCTCACCGCTGGAACAGTAATTCAACACGCCCTGACGAGGAGGCGGGCGAACGCGATTTTTGCCTCGTCTCTTTCCACGAAACACTTAAGGAAACGTTGAATCGCTTCAGATACCGAGGCTGCTCCTCGCCCGCTTCCGACGTGCCCGGACCGTCGTCGTGGCGACGTCCCCGGCTGGTCACGCCCGTGACGCGGCCTGACCGCCACCGACGGCTGGCACGCGCCGGGACGTGACGCGGCTGGCGACCTCAGCCTGGTCACGGGCGGACACTCAGTCGCGCCGTGCCGGATCACGCGACAGTCCGCCCAGCGGCGGAGCCTCGGCAGAGTGTGCGGAACTCCCCACTGTACTCACTGCCGGGGAGTCCAGACGCCGCGTGCGCGCTGAAACACAACGTCTCGCAGTGCGTGCGGCACCCCGCACGTGTCACCGCTGGTCTTCCGTGCTCTGAGAATCGGTTTCGGCACTTCCACTGAGCGGGCCACATTCCACTCAGCGGCAGAGGGTACCCACCGCGCTGACTGGGGGGCCGGCCTTCTGCACTTTGGGCTTGGCGTACTTCTCCAGCGGCTGGATAGCCGACAGGGCGCCGTCGAACCGTTTGATGGGCGGACACTCCTCACTGGTGAACGTGCCGTCCCAGATGGTGACCTCCAGGCTGGCCATGTCCTGCCGGGTCACGGGGCAGACGGTGGTGAACATTCATGGCCGGTTGTGACCTCTGGGCTGGCCAGTGGCCTCGAAATGCTGGGATGTGACGAGCGCATCTTTGACAGGCGATGAGACCACGCCGACAGCTCGATCTGCTCTCTGTGAGCAAGACGGCAAGAACGCGCGTGTGCTTCGAGCAAACGCAGCGCAGCCCATTAGCAATTGGTGTGCAAAAACTTGATTACTGGTCGTCGGGTGAATCGAAGCATCGAAGGTGGGTCCGAGTCCAGAGTAGAGATGTGACGCTAAAGCTTCAGTGCTCATAAGCACGCACTGTGTTTTTCATATCAGAGTGTTCATCAAACAAGGTAAAAGAGAGTTCACAAAAATAGCTTGACTTTATACTACATCCGATGCATGAAATGCGCTGGGATTTGAGAACCATAACTAATGCCATGACATTATTATTTTTGAGTGACAGCTTTTCAGAACCATAAGGCCAAACAGATTCGATTTGTTCCGTTACCAGTTATCCATGACCTTTTCAGGAAATCCACGGAACTGCTGCGCACGGAAGAAACATTATTTGCGGCCCACTTGCGCGTGACACACGTCTTCGCTCGTCGTGGCCACACGAAAGACGCGTCATCACTATATGAGCGGGATTTGCTGAAAATAACCACTTGAAAAGCTTCAAACATCAAATATTGGTACGCAACAAAGCATTCACACCCTTGTAACATTACACATGAGGTGTCCTCCACAAAACCGAACTAATCACATCAAATTCGAGCGTGTCGCCATCTGCCGGTTAGACACACTGCCAGCGCCATCTGCAGGCACGGGCGCCAGTACTCACCAGGGCTGGACAGCAAATGGGTGCTCTAGGAGGCAATGATAACACCAAACATAAATTCATGTCAATCTCAGGTGTTTCCAGAGCAATCTTACGCCAACCAGAAGGCCAGCACACAGCGGCAGGCATTATGCACACACACGACACACGGAACGGCACTGGCGCCGCTCACTGCTTACATGCGGCTTGATGATTCCCTTTGTGTTGGCCATGGTGAAGAGCTTGGGCGACACTCCAGCCCGCTGCGCGAGTCCTGTGAAGCTGCTGTCGACCGGGGGCTTCAGGAGAGGCACCGCGTGCGTGCCACAATACACCGATTTTCTGCAAAGAGGAGATCGGAGGGCTGTCACCTACATACAATGGTGCTGCCACCTGCCGTGAAATCAATGCTTTCCTCAAGTGCGGCTTTGACAATAACCTTGAAATAGAACAGTAACGAAGAGAATATACCAGCTTAACACTTCCCTGGATTCAGTACAGCTCTCGGCTCTTTGTTAGCTCATGCCTTAACTACGGATTAGGTTTAATATCGGCAGAATCGGCTCACACCGAATCTACAGATTGTCTATAGACGCTCAGCTGTAGATTTCCTTTAAACGCAAGCGGACTGGCACTGCACGTCACGTGCAGTGCACTGTACAGTGTTGCATCTACATCAAGCGTGGACCACGACGCCGGTAGAACGGAACCAAAAGTAAAGCAGCCTCGCACAATGACCGCGCGCCACTTGTACTGAGTCGAGCGTCCCGGCCGTCCAAGAGCGCGAAAACTAACGCCACCGAACGCCCTCCAGCGGGAGATCCGCATCTGCCCCCCCCCCCCCCCCCCTCCCCCGTCCGACGCTATCGCCCTGCGGAGGCCACTCACTTCTCGAACAGCTGGAGCACGGTCCAGGCCGACGGCTGGTCCAGGGACAGGCTGAACTCGGCGCCGTCTCTGGGCACCAGACGGCCGCCGAGCTTGTACTCCAGCGGCAGCGAATACAGACGCACCAGCAGCGCCGCCTGGTTGTCGTAGTGCGGGTGGATCGTCTGTAGCAGAGATGGCGCGGTTACAGCACACTGGACGCAACGGACTTCGCGTGGGGAAGAGATGATGCATTGTTCTGTTGGCGGTAAAACGTTATCATAAGTACGGCTGTTTAGTATAGCATCAAACTGAAGGGAGTGTTCCACATTTGTTTGGGGTATGAACTGAAACAGCCAGCTTGAAGGCTATTCGGTGTTATTACGGCGCTACCCTTCTCAAGTCGTAAGCGCTTCTAGCTTCTGAGTTACATGCCCGTGAAGATGTGTAGACTATTTCATGGAAACTCTTCCAAGTTCACCCAGGCATCCATGACGACGTAATAACGTCATTCAAATTCTGTCACTCCATTGGCCGTGCGACGATCAATGCCAAGAATAGTATAATTGCCCAGTAGGTCATATCTGGCTTTCGTGGGCATTATTTTCACATAAAACGGTCGTCAATTGACGGCAGGTAAGATGTAATGAAGCAATCACGTTCTGAGGAGTACAGTTATTAAGCAGAAAACTTTATTGCCCGGAGCAGCCTTTTCCACTTAAAAGTACACCAATAACTAAAAGTGCACTTATTTCATCATATCTGATGAAATAAGAATACACACCCACACCCACACCCACCCACACCCACACCCACCCACACACCCACCCACACCCACACCCACACCCACACACGCACCCACCCACCCACCCACCCACACCCACACCCACCCACACCCACCCACACCCACACCCACACCCACACATGCACCCACACCCACACCCACACCCACACCCACACCCACACCCACACACACATATATATATATATATATATATATATATATATATATATACATATATAAATGTTGTGTGTGTCTATATTATATTTCATGTACGTATATTTACTATAAAACATGTACATATTTCATGTACGTACATTTCATGTATATATATATATATATATATATATATATATATATATGTGTGTGTGTGTGTGTGTGTGTGTATATATATATATATATATATATATATATATATATATATATATATATATATATATATATATATATATTACCATATTTCATGTACGAAGACCTCCCACGAGATCAATGGCAATGGCAAGCAAATAAAAAAACGTCTTGTTTCAAAAAGCAACAAACCAAAGCATCATTTGCGGTGATCAGTGTAGGCTCATGTTCCATATACCCGGGGTGCAAATATGCTGGATACATATCAGTGTCACTTTTGTCATTGTAATTAGCGTAAAGGCCTTAATGAGCCAGTACCTTACTCCCATGCTATCTATGCCTACTTTGTCCTGTTGAAACGAATCCGTCTTCTCTTTAGCACAGCGAATTGATCGGTGTTCAACGTTGCTTGTTTTCAATGTGTTTCTGAATTCAGTGGCGTTGCTAGGATTTCCTCCAGAAGGGGGTCGAAATCGGAGCATAGGGGACCATTTCAGTCGAGAGGCCCCGGCCCAACGCTACAGGGCCCTGTTTTGATATTCCAACGACCTCTGTAGACGCGGGATTCCATTCGAATGAGTCGAGAACCAGTTTTATATTTTAGGAGCTCTTTGAGCGTTTTACAGTAAAAAAATACTTGTGCCTGTCGCTTCAGAGCCCCACCACCTCTCGGAGGGGGGGGGGGGGAGAGAGGAGGGAGCTATGGTCCCAAAAGCCACTTGGCTACGTCACTGTCTGTAATATTGCGTTGTTTGGAAGAATTCTTGCCTGTTCTATTGACATTAACTAGCTAAAGCGGATCAGTTTACATCGGATGATCTTCAGCATAAAAGGCGCGTTAAGAAAACAAATATTGAAACGCCGATCCAACACCGATCATCGTGATCGTACCTGACGTGCGCGGCTGGATATAACGCAACCCACGTCACCACTCTCGCCTGCAATCTACGTCAGCACGCTTATGTAAGTGGGATTACTACCACTCCACACGTCCAGCCTGGTTCCGTCTTGATCGGCCTCCTTCCCGACCACCTCGACCCTTGCCGATTGCTAAGCAGACGGGAATAACAGGACAATGGGCGGTCCGACCGGTCCAGCGTCGCAGCCGCGTGCCAACGTGCAGACCTCCGGACCGGCCGGCCTGAGGCACGGGTCCCCTCCAGCCGCGTGCCACCGCAAGCAGACCTCCGGACCGGCCGGCCTGAGGCACGGGTCCCCTCCAGCCACGCTCTCACCGTCGGCGGGTCCATCCAGTTGGGCGAGCGCTGCAGGCTGTTGAGGTCCAGCTTCTGCGTGACAAAGCGGTCGGCCTCGCGGTCGCCGTAGCCGTCGGCCGTGGCTGGCGTGTCCTTGGTGCTCTTGCCGGGCAGGTATTCCACCACCGCCAGCGTGAAGCGGTTGTCCAGGTATACTGACGACACGCGGGGAAGGTAGCGAGTGAGACGGGGACTGTGCTGTCCAGGTATACTGATGACACGCGGGGAATGTCTTGAGCTCGTTGCAGCGGTTAGTAGATGTGCTGAGCTGTTGTAACTGGAACCGTCTCAGTCGCCCAGCAGCATTCCGTGAGTGGGAGCAGAACTCGGGCCAGAACAGAGCGTGTTGGTCCAGATAGCAGTAGTCCGGCGGAATAAACACACTTCAGCCAGCTCGATGAGTTGACACGAGGCTGAGTCGGCCGGATCGTACCGAGCCGAGCACACCACTACTGGGATGGAGAGGACCGATAGCGGCACTCAGCGTGGGCTGCCGCGGCATCATGGTAGGGCCCAATGAAACACGCGTGTCCGATCATCGCCGTAGATCATCTGTCATTAGTCATCATCAATGTGTCGCTGACACATACCTCACACGCCTCAAACAGTGATGGGATTTACAGATGTTATAGCTATTGAAAAGTGTTGAGTGTGGCGGCTTCCATGATCAATCCATAACATGTCCCCCCCCCCCCCCAATCTTCTCCGCACAAGGTAGTAAGTTCCGCGATCTCACTAGAAGAACTTTCTTTTGCGGGGTTTTACAGCAAAAGAGGAGATGCAGGTCATAATTTCTTAACATTTTGAACGACATGACGTGATTTCTCAGGAGGTACCCGTTATCCATGCCACGTACATCGCTCCACAGAGCTCCTGCGTTCGCCCGTGCCGGAGACCCGTCGAGCTGGCTTCACCCTCCTCGTGCAGTGAGGGAGCGGCCTGAGCCATACCGATGTCGCCACAGCCAGCTGCCAGGTCCCGCTGTTTCCCGATCGCGACAGGCCGGTACAAAGGCAGCCCGGCTACATCAGCCCACGACGGAACTCGCCCAGCCATACCGACCCCGCCCACGCGTCCGCGGACGGGAGCGTGTCGAGCCGCCCGCGCTGGATCAGAGTCCGCCGGTCTGGGCTGCAGCTCGCTGCGGTGGGTGGGACAGAGCCTCCCGGGCTGGATCGGAGCCCGCCACGGTCGGCCGGAGCCCACCGGGCTGGGTTGGAGCCCGCCGGATGGGTCAGAGCCCCCCCCGGGCTGGGTTGGAGCCCGCCACGGTCGGCCGGAGCCCACCGGGCTGGGTTGGAGCCCGCCGTATGGATCAGAGCCCCCCCCCCCCCCCCGGGCTGGATTGGAGCCCGTCGGGTGGGTCAGAGCCCACCAGGTCGGTCAGAGCCTTCCGGACTGGGGACAGCCCGCTTTGGTGGGTCGGGGCTAGCGACCCACCACATCCAGTATGAAGCTGTGCTGACCGCGATCGGAGCTGACGTCGAACTGTCAACTGTCACTGAGCTGTCAGCTTTTGTCCTGCATTGTTCTGCATGCTTCTGCATTCCTTTGTTCATGTTCATGTTCATGCACATCTAGCATCAGTCTCTAAAAATGCCCCAAACCGGTGGCTTCACGGCTGTTAGCCCGAGGGTTCGTATCATAACCAGCAGCGGGTATTCATTCACACTTGTTGGGAGTATACCTGTCTGTTGCCTCCTTCGCCACACGCTGCTTGTTCCGTCTCGCCGAATCATTGGGGTGCAAAGTGGGTTGCAGCCAGCGAGTTTTGCAGCCTGTTCGCAGCTGGCAAACTTAACGAATGGTGACACCCTTTTTGCTCACATTGGAATATAGCAGAACAATTATGCCTGGCCAAGCAGCATGTACAAAAGTGCATTCAATTTCCTAGACGCTTCGCGTTCTCATGAATCACAGTTTTTGTTTATGTATAGCGTGGGCAGCCGCAGCCTGGTGTGTTGCGCGCTGTATATATATATATATATATATATATATATATATATATATATATATATATATATATATATATATATATATACGGAACGTGACTTTCATATAGTCATCGTGTGCAAGTGTGTGATTGGCCACGGCTAGATATGAAAATTGTATCAGCCTGTGACTGGTGGCTGCGAGAACATTGACCTCTAGGAGGCATGACGGTTGACCTGGGCTTAAGTTGAAAAATGTCTCACCGTCCATGCCGGACCCTCACGGTCTTCGGCTTCGCTCGCAATCGTGTCATTTGTGATACATTATATATGATATATATATATATATATATATATATATATATATATATATACATACAGGACCACATAGAGTATAGGAAGGAAATTATAAAAGAGAATCAGCAACGGCGACCGCTTCGTGCACATCACGGGAGAGTCTGGATTAAATAAAATCCGACCTCAGCCGCAAACAATGCAACCGTTGACAAAATGGTCTGTTGCTATGGCATTGCCTGTGTTGTTCGGAGGAGACTGTCAGGTGGCTTGGCAAACCCAGCCTGCCGAGCTCAATCCAACGTATCTAACCATGCAACGGGACCATCAGAACTGGCGGCCGCTGTGCTGGTCTGTTTGACGCCCTGCGGAAGACAGCACATGGCGCATGCGCCATTTTGAGATCCGTTCGCAAATGCAGTTTACTCTGGCCCGAACGGTTACGATTTGCACCTTGAAAATAGCGTCAGTGTGTAGCCCATTTCAGGCCACATTACATAAATACTAACTTTGCATCATGAAATGTCTGAATACACTGGTATATCACGATAAGCCAATGTCGCCAGCATGCCATAAAAGCAGCAACATATACATCAGGATATTTTTTCGAAATCATTACTGGAGCCCACCGCAAAAAATGTTTCACTCTTTACATCACAATAGAGGCGATGTTTGCGCGGTGCGCAAGGTGGTTAAGGAAAAAATTTGTCTCGAAAACTAAGTGTGAATCTAATGGCAGATTACTATGGAAATAAAGCCCGAAGAAAGTGTACACGTTCCTGGTCCAATCTATCCGCATGCAGCGGCGACCCTAAACGGAAGTAGACCACACGTAAGTTGAGTAAATTTAAATAATTGCCACAAGCGCTTCAGTACAGAAAGAGAACAATTTCACACATTTTAACTCTCATAAGCCGTCAGCCGGCGTTTTTCAGAACACAATTTGTGGATAATTTCCATTGAATACTCGGCGAGTTTGTTGGGAAGGTCATTTTGGAGTCACTGCGCCTGGGTCGTTTAAGGACAGCACCAAGCGGTAGGCTTCAAAATATGCCAGAGCACGCCAAACTAATAAACGGAGATGGAAGAGGAGGACCACAGCCACACCATCACTGGGCTTTTATTATTTGACCTATGCCCCGTGATCCTTTAGAAACCAGTGCCCAAGCCGTTGGCCAGAGGAATACAGCTGGACTAACGTGCCATCACAGTTAACAAGCATGCGATAATTCTTTAGGCGTCGTTACATCGTTGCGTCGTTTTACTAGGTATTTACGTGCTTTTCACCAAGCTCGAGCGGACATGCAAGTTCTTAATGCTCCAGAAGCCCTTCGACAGCAAAACGAGACCGTTAAGCTAATCCCCACTGGGCGTCAGTCTGGAAAACGGGCATGGATTGTTGCAACGACGAAATCCGGGAATAAGCGGTCGAAGTTTTTAGTTATATGTACTGATAAAAGTTTTGGTTATGTGTAGTAACCAAAGTTACATGCATATTTCCTATAAAGTATTTACACACAACTTTTCTTTTCAGAAGCCATAGTAATAGAGAAACCTTTCAGATGTGAAACGCACCCAGTAAATATTCATCGGATGCCTCAACATGTGCGACATGCGTAGATGCGCGATGCATCTACCAGAGAGATTTCCTCAGAAACTTTGGGGAGGGGCGCATCGTTTTCCCGTCCTCGTCCTCACTCTTCCCGCGCATGGGCAGAGTGAGGAATAATGCATGGAACTGTGAAGTCATCCGACATTTTGTGATCCTATGTGCGACATGGACGTGTCAAAAGTATTTATGTATACTTCCTGTGCGGCATGCTGCAAAGAAACGGAAAAGGAATGATTAACCGAGGCTCGAAGTGTCGGCCACTTTAGAGCTATTTGTCGCTTTAAAACAGTGCCGGTGCATCATTTTAGATTCAGGGCCAGACATTAAACATGAGTTTGAAACCAGAAGCCATTCATCAGCAAAGGCTCCTCTGCAGATAACGCTGAAACAATCACGTTTAAAAATGGTCGCGAAGCTAGAGAGTGAGAATGTATGTCATCGGTCGCCGCCGTCGAACAAATGCTTTCTTTTAATTTGTGGTATAGTCTTAATTTGTCGTATTTACTTGCCGTCCAAACACATTAGAAATTAACAGCGCTGCCTTGTCCGTGCACCATTCGGCAGGATGATTGTCAGAAGCCTCTTTGCAAAAGCGCTTGGGGTTTTTCATAATTCTTTCATGTTATCTGCCACAGTCGTTACTGATCTCTGCAGCAACAAGGTAAGGGGAAGGTGCCACCGAAGCCTAATCGCTGCCAAACAATCTGTGATAACCCGTTTTCTCAGACCTGGCCTGTTTCAGACCTGTTTATGCACAATCCTTCTCCACATGGCTTTTATCTACAAATGTTATTTAGCTAAGACGCCACTAAAAGCTGCTTTCACACTCGCATGCAGCAGAGCATGCTCGCAAAATGTCACCCACTCGAACATTTTGCTCCACGCAAAAAATCGTGCACCGCGCCACATCGCATGCAGAAAATCACGGATGTGCCGACTTATAATATTCCGGTTTTTGAACAACGGCAAATGCTTCAAAATAAACAGAGGCATGATGTCACCACTCGTTGGATAACACTTGACCCTGCAGGGCTATTTTTGGCATTCATTTTGCAGTAAGCGTGGGTGACGCACACATAAATGGCCAATTAGAACTATAAAGATTGAAACGCATAGCGATAGCTGAATATCTATGGTCTTGTGATATTTGTGTCATGATACATACCAAATTGTAGCTCTCGATGCGATGAACATGAACATGTCCGTATAAACCATGTTAAGCCTACGAACGTGGTGCAAAAAGTCAAATCCCGGCTGTGCCCATGAACCCAATCACCTGCCTTCCCCACATTCTGGGAATCAGTGCTCATTCATTCGC